CCCGCGCCGCGCCCTGGCGCCCAGAGGCCCTGGCGGCGGTCCGGGAGGGCCCGGGCGCAGGTGGGTGTCGTGCGGTGACGCCGCGGCGCCCCGGCCTCTTCGGGGGCTTTTCCCTGTGGCTTCCGGGTGTCCGGGAACGCGCGGCGGGCGCCCGAGCCAGTGGCTTGGCCTCTCGGCCCGCGGGGCTGGCGAGGGTGCGGGGCCGGCACAGCCGAGCCTGCCCGGACAAGGAGCCTTCCCGCTTCCCGCCCTCTCCCGCGGAGCAGGAGCCGCCTTTGTGAGGAGGGAGGCGGGCGGGGCGGCCCTCCCGACCGGAGCCGCGGCGCGCAGGGGCGAAGGCCCTGGGGCTTCAGCTCGGGGCCGCGCACACGGCTGCCCTTGATGTCCTAGTGTGTGGCCGTCAGGCTGCGCTGGAGCGGCCTCGGGGAGGTCGGCGCCGTCCCCGGGCGTGGCGCCCCGCCGCCTGCGGCTGAGCCCTCCGTCTCCCCCTTCAGTGTGCGGACGATGCCGAAGCTGCAGGGCTTCGAGTTCTGGAGCCGCACCCTGGGGGGGGCTCGCCACGTGGTGGCGCCCATGGTGGACCAGAGCGAGCTGGCTTGGAGGCTGCTGAGCCGCCGGCACGGGGCCCAGCTCTGCTACACGCCCATGCTGCACGCCCAGGTCTTCGTGCGCGACGCCAACTACCGGAAGGACAACCTGTACTGCGAAGTGTGCCCCGAGGACCGGCCGCTCATCGTGCAGGTGGGCGGGGTGGCGGCCGAGGGGAGGGGCCGGGGGCGCGGTGCTCAAGCACCTGGCTTCCGAGGGCACCTGCAGCTGGTCTCAAGACATTTACCCCTCCCGGGAGCTGGCCCGGTTTGGAAGGGACACTTTGGGTGCCCTGGAAGATTCGCAGCCCCTGACACCACTGGCCTGCTGTCACCGCGCTCTAGCCAATGGTTGGGAAGAACGTTCTGCGCTGTGTAGGATCCATGATCGCAACTTTGCTACAATTGAGACATTATGTGATCCTGTGACGACTCCTTGTGACACAGGGACCCACCAAATATAAACGCTTAGGACGGGATGACATCCCGCAGGCAACCCTGGGATCCTGTCTCCACTGGGTCAAGTGTGAACCCCTGTGGGGCTCTGTCTGGGGTATCAGGGTATCAGGTTCAGGTTTGTGGCAACTTGTATGTGTTTTCCAGTTCTGTGCCAATGACCCAGAGGTGTTTGTCCAGGCGGCTCTCCTGGCCCAGGATTACTGTGATGCCGTCGACCTGAATTTGGGTTGCCCGCAGATGATAGCCAAGCGAGGTGAGTTCCTTTCTGGGTTCCTGTGTTGAGCGCCCACAGGGTGCCCGGATGGAGGCCAGGGTGTGGCTGACCCTGCTCTGATGGCAGTGGCAGCTCAGGGGTGTCCCAGCCCTTTGTTTGCTGCTCCCTCTGGAGGTGGCTCTTCTCCAGCGCTGGAGGGACAGGGTTTGCTGGCTCTCAGGCTGTCACTTCCCTTAGTGCTCTGGGGTCACTGGGCTCCATCTGGGTAAACGGGCTTTGCTGAAAGGAGGTTATACCGCTGGGCGTGGGGCTCACGCTTTCTTCACTGAGCCCGAGGGGTTGCTGGCTGGTGAGAAACCATGGAGGGTGGGTGTTCTGCTGGGCAACCTGCCCCCACTGCTCACCTCCCTGATTGTTGCTGCCCCTCTGGATGGCTTGGAGGGGGGGTGCTCGTGCCATGTGTGGCCGCGGGAGGAGGAGGAGGAGGATGGGTGCTAATGGCCGTGCCTGTCTCATGCAGGTCACTACGGGGCCTTCCTGCAGGAGGAGTGGGACCTGCTCCAGAGAATGAGTGAGTTGGCCCCGGGCACGGGTGGGGAGTCAGGTTGGGGCGTAGTTGGTGAAGTGGCCCTGAGACCTTGGCAGGCAAGTCCCGGCCCCGGTGCTCTCGCTGCTGCAGGAGGGGCTCTGCCCGGAGCCGTAGGTGCAGGAGGGAGAGGGAGGTGTCCCCACCCGGTCCCCACCCCTCCAGTGCCCTGGTGGACGGAGGCGGGTCTCAGCTGCCTGCAGCCTGCCTGCAGGTGCACACCATGCTTCTCAGAAGCCGGTTGTTGTTTTCGCAGTTCTGCTGGCACATGAGAAGCTCTCTGTCCCCGTCACGTGCAAAATCCGCGTCTTCCCAGAGATTGACAAGACCGTCAAGTACGCTCAGATGCTGGAAAAGGCCGGCTGTCAGGTAGGCGGGCCATGGGCTCACAGGGCCGAGCGCAATTCCCCTGCCCCGTGTCCCCTGCACCTGGAAGCAGGTGTGGAGGCTCCTGGACCCCAGGAACCCCCTTGAGCGAACTCTCTGGGGCGAACTAGAATCGTGGTGACCATGGGTGGGGCCTGAGGAGGGTGGACGAGTCCCAGCTCACTTCTCCCCACCTGCCACCAGCCTTAAGGTCAGGTTGGTGCTGGCCCGGCCTTCCCTCACACGTTTGGAGCTGGGCTCGAGGGTGCTGCCACTTTTGGCCAAGACTGGCCCTCGAACGGGGCTGGGCCTCTCGGCTCCGCATCCTGGGTGGGTCCGTGGGACACGGGAGCTCTGGGCGGCAGCCCACCAGCCTCGACCCTGGGGACGTGGGCAGACGCGCCAGCTGGATGCAAGGCTGCCTTTGCTCTGCTCTGCGTGGGAAGCTGATGCCAAAGCGAGGGGGTTCCCCCTGGGGTCGGCCCGGGGTGTGTGGCCACGAGCAGGGTAGAGCCCGGGCGTTGCCATGTTCCAGCTGCTGACCGTGCACGGGCGCACCAAGGAGCAGAAGGGGCCGTTGTCGGGCACCGCGTCCTGGGAGCATATCAAGGCTGTGCGGTGAGTGGGCAGGGGTGGAGGGCAGGCGGATGAGGGGACAGACGTGCAGCCCGGCCCTGAAGCCAGGTGCCCAGCCATTTGGGTGCTGGGGGGGGGGGG